CTCCCTAAACTATAAAACTGTACAAATGGACCTCCTAAACTATAAAGCGTATCAGTTAGACTCCCTAACGGAATGGGTCAAAGTGAAACACGCTGATAATTTAGAGGGTCTATTTATACAGTTTTATAGTTTAGGGGACAAATTGATACTTCTCAATAGTTAAAAATATTTTTAGGGTTGGGTTTAGAATGACTATATTAATCCTGATGTTGTGTTAAGATTGACTTGACATATAATCTTTCTATGTAGTTCAACTTAATTTGAGTAGACAATTCACCTAACCTATATAAAATATAGTAATCCTTAACAAAATTTGACATGTTTTTAACAATTAAATTTTAATAATAGTTAGTTTAAATTTTTTGAACTATTTTTTGTTTTAATAGAAATTGATTTATAGAGTATAAATAAATATGATGAATTATTTTTATTTTATAATATTTTGTATTTAAAAAAATCATTCCATGCGTAGCACGGGTTTGTTCCTAGTTTAGGGATATGTCAAATCTCCCACAATTAAATTCTTACCCAAGAATTGCATCACTGGTTGCCCGATTCCCTTAATAAACAAGCTTGAATACTGTAAACTCGACTCGATTCAGTTCATTAAGAGAGTGAAAGCTTATTTTGATTTTCTTTTTGATTTTTTTAAAAACAAAAATATTGTGCCAAATAAATTTTTAATTTCAAATTCAAAAAAAAAAAAAAAGATTAACAGAATCAAATTGGAGTCTAATGCATTCACACATGAGATGTGAAAAGAGCCAAAAATTGAACTGAATCCATTAAAAGATACTTAAATAAGGACAATTCAAGGGTATGTCAAATCCTAGAGTGAAATTTTCTTATTGGGGATTGAGTCGTTGGTTGCCCGATTCTCTTGATGAATACTTTAAAAATTGACTCGGTTCGGCTCATTAAGAGAGTGAAATCTTATTTTGAATAAAAATAATTCAATTTTTTTAAAATAGTGTGCTAAATAAATTTTTAATTTCAAATTAAAAAAGCAAAAAATAAAAAAATAAAGGAAAACTACCAAAATCTAATTGGAGTCTAATGCATTCACATCTGAATATGAAAAGAGTAAAAAAATTGAACTGAATATATTAAAATTAAAGACACTTAAATAAGGATAATTTGGGGATATATCAAATCTCTTACAATTAAAGTCTCGTTCAAGGGATTGAGTCGTTGACTGTTTAATTCGTTTAATAAACGAACTTAAACACTCAAAAACTTGGCTCGATTCAGCTCATTAAGTGAATAAAAACTCATTTTGAAAATAAAATTATTTTTTAGGAAAAAAAAGTGCGCAAAAAAAAAATTGAATTTCATATTCAAAAAACAAAATCACAAAAATAAAACCACAAAAAATTAAAAAAAAAATTATCAAAATCTAATTAGAGTCTAATGCATTCACACTTGCCCAAAAAAAAAAAAGAGTTGAATGACACTAAAATAAAGACAATTTAGACATATATCAAATCTTACAATTAAAGTTTGGGTAATGCTAGGGACACCAAATTTTCTACCAAACAAATGACCAAATGTCTCACATGGGTGTGGGGTCCGCAATTTTGTGGGCCTCACACCCATGTGAGACATTTGATCATTTATTTGGTAGAAAATTTGGGATCTCTAGCATTTTTCTTAAAGTTTTGTCTAGAGATTGCATCGCTGGATGCCTCTTAATAAATAAGTTTAAACATTTAAAAATTCAGCTCGTTAAGAGAGTGAAAAATTATTTTTAAAAAATGATATTATTTTTTAAAAACAAAAATGGTGTGCCAAATAGATTTTAAATTTCAAATTCAAAAAAAGTGTGCCAAATAGACACTTAAATTTAGAAATATGTCAAATCTCCTACAATTAAAGTCTCATTCAGGGGATTGTGTCCCGGGCTGACCGATTCTCTTAATAAACAAGTTCAAACACAAAAATTCTACTCGACTCATTAAGAGAGTGAAAACTTATTTTGAAAAGAAAAAACAATTTTATTTTTGTAAAACAAAAGAAGTATGCCAAACAAATTTTTAATTTCAAATTCAAAAAACAAAAACAAAAGCACAAAAAAAAATTACCAAAATCTAATTGGAGTTTACCACATTCACACCGTGTGTGTGAAAAGAGCCAAAAAAATGAGTTGAATCCATTAAAAACATTGAAATAAAGATAATTTAAGGATATATGAAATCTTATAATTAAAGTCTTGTTTAGAAGATTGCATCGCTCGCTGCCCCTAAATAAACAAATTTAAACATTTAAAAATTTGACTTGATTTGGCTCGTTAAGAGAGTGAATCTTTTTTTAAAAAACAAAAATAGTGCACTAAATAGATTTTTAATTTCAAATTCAAAAAATAAAAAATAAAAAAATACCAAAATCTAATTGGACTCTAATGCATTCACATCGGGTGTATGAAAAAGAGCCAAAAAAAAACAAAAATGTGTTGAATCCATTAAAGACATTAAAATAACAAAAATGCTAGAGGCTTCAAAAATTCTATCAAAAGTTTTACCAAATGTCTTACATGGGTGTGAGACCCACATGGGACCCACATTGTGTGGGCCTCACACCCATATGAGATATTTGGTAAAACTTTTGGTAGAATATTTGGAATCTCTAGCATTACTCTTAAAATAAAGACAATTTGGGAATATGTGAAATTCTACCATTAAAGTCTTGTTCAAGGGATTACATCGCTGGTCGCCCTTAGATAAGTAAGGCCTAGTTTGGGAAGACTAAATAAGTGCACTTTTTGACTTTTTATGAAATATGGGTTGGGTTTGGGTTGGGTTTGAAGTGATGTGTTAGAGAGGTGATGTGACTTAAATAAGATGATGTGACTTAAATAGGATAGTGACTTTTTGACTTTTTGTCTTTTTTCAATCATACCAAACTTGGCCTAAATTTAAACATTTCAAAACACCGTTCGACTTGACTTGAAAATTTATTTTAAAAATTTTAATTTAATTTTTTTAAAACAAAAGAAGTAGGCAGAAGAAATTTTAAATTTCAAATTAAAAAAAAACAATAAATAAATAAATAAATTACCAAAATCTAATTAGAGTAATGCATTCAAACTTGGGATGTGAAAAGAGGCCAGAAATTGAACCAAATTCATTAAGGATAATTTAGGGATATGTGAAATCCTACAATTAAAGGCCTATTTTGAGAATAAGGTTATTTGATTTTTTTTAAATCATATCATTTCTTTATTTTTGAGTGCTGCTATTAGCACATACCTTTTTTCTTTGGCCCCCTCATTTCTTTGAACTCCTACCCAACAAAATGAAACTCCTCATTTTTTTTTTTTAAACTCCCACTTTAATACCAATTATACCCCTCATCTTTTTGACTCCCAACTTTTTTTCTCCTATTTTCCTACCACCATCGGTAGTCTCACCCCTCCGGTGACCTCCCGACCGGCGACCCCGTCTCTTTTTCCCCCCATATCTAGTCTCTCTCTCTCTGTCTCTCGCTATATATATCTCTTCAAGGTTTTGAATCTCTTCAATTGATCTGTTGCAACTGTTTTGATCATTCCTTTGTGTGTTGCGATCATTTCAATTCTTCTATACTTGATTTTGATCCGAAGATTAGCATTAAACAAAAAAAAAATCAAAACTTTTATGATTTTTTTTTAATGTTTTCTTATATCTGATTTCAAGTTGTTTATCATTCTAATTAAATTCAACAGAAATTACCTATTTCTCTCTCTCTCTCTCTCTCTCTCTCTCGTTGTGATTGGAATCATCTATTCACATATATACGTGATTCGATCAGATCCGAATGGGTACTTAGAAATCGTTTTGAATCGAGTAAAGTTGATGATGGGTCAACTCTGATCACGTATCCTGTAACGAACTCAGACAGAGTACGCGAATCGTCAAAAATGAGAAAGAAGAAGAAGAAAGTCCAAGCCACTAGAGATCAAGCTCAGAATCCTAACATCTCAATGCCGTGGAGTCGCGGGAGGCGATGGTGGTGATGTCAGAGGAGGGGGATGAGGTGCTGGAGAAGGAGATAAGGAGGGTGCGGACCATGGAGAGGCGGAGGGAGAGGAGTTGGCCTTATAGAAGAGCTCGTTGGTAGGGCAAAGGTGGGTTTGGAAAATTAGGGTTAGGGATGAGGGTAATAATGTAACTTCATATTTGGACAAAATTGGAATAAAAAAAAATAGAGGGGTCCAAAGAAGAAAAGTAGGTACTAATAGTAACACTCTTATTTTTTTACACGTTCAAAAAAAAAATAAAAATAAAATCAACTTTTAACATATTTTCCAAAATAGGCCAAAGTCTCCTCCAAGGGATTACATCACTGGCTATCCCTAAATAAGGCCTTGTTTGGCATGATCTAAAAAAGTTAAAAAGTCATTATCCTATTTAAATCACATCATATTATTTACGTCACATCACATCTCTAATACATCACTTCAAACCTAACCCATACCCAACCCATATTTCATAAAAAGTCAAAAAGTACACTTATTTAGATTATCCAAAGTTTAAACATTAAAAAACTCGATTCAACTCGACTTGCTAATGTGGTTGATTTTTCCCGTTTCTCGGAGAGGATTAGTCTCATCGGATGCGATTCTTTACAATTCGGACTCTCGTGATTCTGAATCCAAAAGATTACATAGTGTAATTTTCATCATTGGGTGTTCAGCATGAAACGCTCAAGTCTTAAGGACGGTAAAAAATGAGGTGTCTACCACTAAGATAGTAAAAATTTATTTTAAAAAATTAATTAATTTATTTTTTTAAAAAAAAAAAGCAGTATGCGAAACAAATTTTTAATTTCAATTTTTTTTTTATAAAAAAAATACCAAAATCTAATTAGAGCAATAAATTCAATTTAAAAAAATTAAAAAATTACCAAAATCTAATTAGAGCAATAAATTAAAACGTGGATGTGAAAGACGCAAAAAATTGAACCAAATACATTAAAGACACATAAATAGACACATAAATAAGGGCAGTTTGGGGTCAAATCTCCTAAAAATTAAAGTCCCGTCCAAGCGAATGCGTCGCTGGCTGGTCGATTCCCTTTCCCTTCTCCTCCACTCCAAGCCTTGCATGCACTCTCTTCTTCGCGCCCTTCCCTTATTTTTGTACTTATTCTCTCTCGCTCTCTCTCTTCTTTCTCTCTCTACAGAGCCTTCTCTGCACTCTCTCTCAGCCGTTTCAATTCGCTGGAAACTCTCTCGCTGCTCTCCGGTAATTGGTATCTCTCTCTCTCTCTCTCTACTTTTGTTCTTAGTATGTAATTTTTTATATGTATACATACATTTGATCAGTGATCACTGATGTGTGCTTTGTCTGGACTTACAGAGGGATTGAATCGAGTCTTTGTTTCATGTTTGAGCCATGGATTATAGCAAAGTGCCCTTGTCGAAGCGAACTCGGCTTCAAGAATCAGTTTTTTTCCAGGAGTACAATGAGAGGAAGAAGAGGGCTAAGAACGGTGGTGGTGGTGGTGGAGAGTCGGGGGAGGCTGCTGGTGGGGCTAGGGTTGCTGGTGGTGGTGCGAATTTGGGGCCTCGTGGTGTGCGGGATTCTGGGTCGGTGGCTGGTTCGGGTGTTAAGGGACGTGTGGGTGGCCGTGTTGAAGCTAATGGTGTGAAGGAAGGTGTTGGTTCGGTTAGTTATGATAAGGGTCAGGCTTCGGGGATGAAGAGAGTTCGAAAATTGGGGAAGGGGTTGAAGAAAAAAGACAAGAATTTGGGCCCAATTCGAGGGAATTCTGAAAAAAGTGGGAGAAACAAAAAGGGGGTGAGAAAAGATGAGGGTGTTGCTTCAGGGAGTGTTGATTCGAGGAGAAAGCATAATTTTGTCGAGAAATCGCTGAAAAAGAAGAATGTGGTTCAAATTAGTGATGATGATGATGATGAAAGTAGTGAGGATGAAGATGAGGATTTCGGTGAAGCTAGTGTTGGTTGGAAGAAAAATAGGAAATCAATTAAGAGGGTGAAGAAAATCAAGAATGTTGATGATAGTGATGACGATGATGATGGTAGTGAGAATGAAGATGAGGATTTCGGTGAAGCTAGTGTTGGTTGGAAGAAAAATAGGAAATCCATTAAGAGGGTGAAGAAACACAAGAATGATGATGAGAGTGATGATGATGGTAGTGAGGATGAAGATGAGGATTTCGATGAAGCTAGTATTGGTTGTAAGAAAAATAAGAAATTGATCAAGAGGGTGAAGAAAGACAAGAATGATGATGATGACGAGGAGAGTGAAGATGATGTTGAATACATAGTTGTGAAGCGAGTTAAAAAATCGGAAAAGGGGTTGAACAAGAAAAATAAGAATGTAGTTCAAATTCCGGGGAATTTCAAAAAACATTGGAAAAACAGAAAGGGTGTGAAAAAAGATAATAATGTTGTTATAGGTCTTGCCAATTTGGTGAAAAAGCATAAATCTGTTGAGAGACTCAAGAAAAACAAGAATGTGGTTCAAATGAGCGACTATGATGATGATGAAAGTGAGTATGAAGTTGAGAATTTTGTTAAAGCCAGTGTTGATTTGAAGAAAAATAAAAACAAGTTGAAGAAAAACAAGAATGTGGTTCAAATGGATGTTGATGATTATGAGAGTGATGGTGACGTTCAATTCCTAGTTATGAAGGATAAGAATGGTAGAGTGATTGAAGGGGCTGAGGATGATGTAGTGGATTCAAACTATTCTAGTTTCAGAAAGGAGTCCAAGTCAGAGGAGTTCTCTAACTGCAAGCGTTCTCCTCTCAAGGGTCGAGAGGAGGTTGCTTCATGTCATCAAAAGAGGAAGAAGAGTGCCTGTATTAAGTTGAAGGATCGGAAGAGTTGTGGTGTATTGAGCCAAGCTCGATCACAGTTGGGGAGCATCAAAGAAGGGGAAGAAGGTAATTCCTGCCATCTCAAATGATTCAGAGGATTTAGATGAGTTGAGCAACAGTCAAGATGTTATTCAATCCGAATCCGATTCTGATTCTGATTCCACTCATTCTGCTGATTCCACTGGCTCCTCTGATTCGGGGGATTCGGAGGGGTCAGTATCATCAAGTGAAGAGGCAAGTGATCGTTCTAGAGACAAGGATTACAGAGTTGATAATTCTTCTAGATCTGTTAATTCAGATGATTCGAGTTCTTCTAGTGAGGATGAGAATGAGTCTGGTTTTGTGAATCAAGTGAGTCCTAATGGAAAGGGAAAGGATAAAATGGTTGAGGATGGAAAGGGAAAAGAAAAAGTGTTTGATGTTGGAAGTGTTGAGGGAAAGGAAAAGGAGAAAATGGTTGAAGTTGGATTAAAGAGAGGAAGAGGAAGACCCCGTAAAGTTGTTAGTTTGGGTCAATCCATCTCTTGTAGTTTGGATGGTGTGGGAAAAGATTTTGAACCTAAAAGTGTTGCAGAACGTCTTCGACTGCGACAACGTGTTTGTAAATCCAAAAACTCTGAAAAGAAGAAACAGGAGATTGGGTCATTTAGTGGCCCATTTGCTCTTAGGGATGAGGATGAAGATGAGATTGATGGTGATGGGAACACCTGTTTTCAAAGTGGCAATGATGTGTGGAAAGTTGGTGAGAAAGGTGGGAAAAGAGAAGGGAAAGAAGAGGTGGCCAGGCCTACTAAGAGAAGCCATAATGGTGTGGATGCTTCTGCTTCTATAATAGTTGAAAAGGTAGTGTACTTTTAAAGAGTTTTCATGAATACAGCTAAATGGTTCAAGTAATGTTTAAATTTTTTTTTTTGAATTTTAACAGATCTTTGGCGTTTATTTCTGAAGATTCTTGCAGATTCTATTTGGGAGAAAGAAGGGGATGTGCGTCTGGAAAATTTAGTTTCCCCTGGAGACGGGGTTCCTGATCAAGAAACAACATTATCCTTAAGGTTCAGGTTCGGCTTTGAAGATGATCCGAAACCACCTGAGAAATCGTACTGGGATATAGAAGCAGACAAACTTTTTGCAGAAATGGAGTTTGCTCTTACAGTTGATGGGATTGGTGGTTCTTCAGATGCTTCCATGGTAGGTCGGCACTAAACGCTAAATGCACAAAAATTATGTTTATTTTCCCAACTTGTCTTAATTCTATTCTTAAAAGATTTCCTTTATCATTTTTCATATTATTGTGGGATCTGTTGATCAGTCACCTGGAGACTAGTTTGCTATTTCCTATCTTGTTCTAGATAAGTTTTAACAGTTGTGATTGATTATGGATATTTGGATTGTCTTTATACATTGTTTGATGTTTACTTCTTGATATGGTTTAAATTTTTGGATAGTTTTGAAGGTCTATTGATAACTTTAAATTTGAGCTGTATGGATTTTATTTTAAATCTGGCTAGATATGAATTGTGTACATGTACTCATAATTGCATATCTACGTAGAGACTAGTGCTTTGTTCCCTATGCTGTTATATATTTGCCTCCCTTATGTTCTTGCTTTTATTGCATACTTTTGGGGCCTATGCATGCATGTCTGAGTTTATGTTGTTTGTATGTGGAGTGGATCCTATGGTTCAGAACCCATTATTATTCTTCATACGAAAAAAGATGTTGTTCCTGTTCATTTCTTTACATAAAAAGGATGTGGTTGAATCAAGATGGCAACACGCATGAACTCTGATCAACATCCTCTGAACCTTGTTAAAAGTTGTAAGTAGACAGGGTTTTAATTGCATTACAATAGAAAAGTCTTATTGTTAAAACATACCCAGGCTAAGCAGTCTAATGAACCACTACTTGAAAAGAAGGTTTGTAATCCCCTCAATGTTAATGTAGAAGTTAACTTTGATGTTGTAGATGATTTGATGGGTTTCTCTTATGACAAATACTCCTAAACAAGTTTTAAAGAGGGTTGAAGAACTTTATCATGAAGGGAAAATCTTCCAAACAAGGGTCAATTGGCTTTTCACAGTCTAATACTATTCTCTCTCTCCTTTTTCTCCATGTCAAAGTAAAATACAATTCTCGGATTACTGTTCACAGCCCAAGAACATTGCAAAATTCAGTCCATAAACTCTTCCAAATTGAGACCTAATAAATTCTAACATCTTCCCCGACCTTTAGAGGTTTGAATTGGCACCAAAACCTATAATTGGCAGCTGCTTGTGCCCTTAAATTATGAATTTTCAGATAATCTAGCATCCTAAAAATTCAAAAACCAGGCTTATTTGTGTTTTTCTCTACCTTTAAAACCATAAATCCACGTAAGTTATCTTACATTTTCCCATCATAAAACTATTCATAAGATTGCCATATTTTTAGCTTTTAAAATTGTCCTATATCAGGTTTGTATCAAGGCCTCAATATCCTACCTTCTTCCTTACCAATTGTTTGATAAAATGGTTTTATGGAAAGTATAGTATTATTAAACTATGGCACCAAGGGGGGTGTATAACCTAAATTTATTATTATTATTATTTGATTATTCTTTATTACAATGGTGTCAAAACATTGAATCGATTTTCAAGTTTGAACTTTTTTGAAAAAGATTGTGAGGTTACTAAGTAAGATATTGTGATGTTAAAAAAGTGTAGTAAATAGCGTCTCTACAAATTTAGAAGTGGTGAAATCCTCAATAAAGAGGTTGGAGGTTGTCTTAGGCAAAAACTTGTTGGAGAAAGCACTGGCCAAGAGCTTAGTATCTCAACTATTTATGTATACTTTTTGCTTATCAAATCAAAAATACTACTTAAAGAAACCCTCTAGCATATACAACTAATCAATGAATACTTCTAGATCATTATTTCCATTAAAATCTCTAACTTCAAGCTTAGCACCTCTATAAACATCAACCAATCTAAGATCATCTTGCAATTGGAGTGGTGCTTGTGGTGGTGGAACTTTTCCAAAAGCTTGTTGATGATACTTTGGAATACAAAACACCAACAAACATATTATGCTACCATTATACCATGGGAAGACATGAAGATAGCTATGACTTGATACTTTGTACCAATAAACTAGATGCAATGTGTTCACTCACAATTCACATAGATGGTGCAAGGTAGTGTATCTGTTGAATAGTATATTGGAAAATTCTGTAGGTTGGCTTCAAATCGGAATTTATATGAAATGAAGATGGGATGGTTTTATGTGTTGGCAAATTCTATTGTTGCTTAGTTGTGAGTTGACTTTATACTAAGGCAGATGTAATTCAAGTGGCTTACCTTCAAGGAGTCTTTTGAACTACTACTTGAAGAAGAGGTTTGTAATCCCCTTGAGACTAATATGGAAGTTAACTTTGAAGATCTTGGTGATTTGATAGGGGTATTATTCATCCATTCATAGTAATTACAAACCACATACGGCCTTATAGTATGTCCATAAAATTGTTAAGTTGCTTAACCAAATCAACACTTAACATAAATGATCATAAAATAAGACTCAAACCATGGCTAAAGACTTGATTATACATTGTTTTATTATTTTTTTAATTGACTACATTGTTTTAATTTTTCCCAAGTGGATTGGGCTTGAAACAATTAATTTCGTAATATTCCCACTTATATAATTTTTGTTTTCTTACGCTTTTTCTGGGATGGATAACATGTTCTTAGACACATGGAATAGTAATACGAGAACAAGTGTATTGTTGCTTTTGATCGCTTCTTTTGGTGTGAGTCATGTTGGTTTGGTTATTAGACTTTCATATGCTTTATCATGAACTTACACACTAGACTAAAGCATATGGTGCATTGTCCCAAAACATAGATATTGGAGACAACCTAAAGGTACTCTCTACGAGTTGAAACAAGACATTTATTTACAGAGTTATGCTAGGGACCCCAAATATTCTACCAAACCTCTCACATGGGTGTGAGACCCACACACATGTGGATTTGTGTGAGTCCCACCCAAGGTTTTAAAAAGCGGCCGCAACCGTTACGTAACGCCGTTACGTAAAGGTTTTGGCAGTTACCGCCACCCGTTACGGCCGCTTTTGCAGTGTGATTGAGATTCACAAGTGTGTCGGCCGTAGTGGCTGCTGTAGCGGTCGTAACAGTGCCGTAACAGCCGTAACGGCATGTTACGCACCGTTACGTAACGGTTTCAAACTGTTTCTTTCGAAAAAACACAAAAAAAAAAACTAAAAATGGGAGAAGAGGGATAGAGAGAAGAGGGAAGATAAAGAGAGAAAATGGAGGAGCAAGAGATAGAGAGAGAGAAGAGGGAAGATGAAGAACATGTTATTGATTTGTTAAAACTGTAAGACCTATGCTATTCTATTCAGCTGCTATCACTAAATCATTTTATTTGTGTGTGTCTATCTATATATTGTTTGAAAATAATAATAACAATAAGTGTGGTCATTATCTATTTGGCTTGGTTAAAAAATATATATATATATATTTAAGCTTTTATTTATTCTTTTACTTTTATCATTGTTTATCTTATATATAATAGTTAGTGATTGATTTTTTATATAATATAAAGTCATTAATCATTAAAATAAAATGTAAAAAACTCAATTTATAGTTATTTAAAAATATGAAATATATTGCATCATACTTAAAATTTACAAAAATTGATCAATATTTATTTTTAATCCAATAAATATGATTATGGAAAAAAAATATGCGTACCGGTAAGTTTTTTTCAAATTGTGCAAAAAATAAAAAAATTCACGGTTCCGGTTATCGCAACCGTTACACTACGGCCTTTACACCCCGCAACCGCAACCGCGTCACCGCCACCGTTACGGCGACCGCAACCGCTTTTCAGAACCTTGGTCCCACCCCATGTGAGAGGTTTGATAGAATATTTGGGGTACATAGCATTTCTCTTATTTACAAGCATCATCTTTAGTGCTTTCCTGATCTTTTTGTGCACTTTTAATGAATTGATGCTTTTGTGTCCACGATCCACGAGTTTTGTGAGTTAATTACGTGGCTTGGGGGTGAATTCGGTACTGCACTATAAATATTACAATTATGGTGTAGCTTTAGGTCTATGTTGTACTCACTCATGAGTTTTTGAAATTTCTTTGCTTGATGGCTAGACTTGGAAAGTGTAGCCAAAGTGTGGTCTTGGCTTTGGATTGAATCTTGGCTAATCTTAGAGTATGAAGTAGATACTCTGCGTCCAAGATTTGAGGTTGATACCCTTTCAAGTGTGTATCTCTTGCCATATGTCTTTCATGTTGACTATATGGTCTCACATTCTCCATTCATGGTCTTCATTAATTGGTAGTCAAACTAAATCTGTTGCCTCTGTCTTGCTTTTTCTCAGCTAGCACTGTAACATTATGTAAATTTGACTTTTTTTCCCCTTTTCAAAGAGATAACATAAATTTGACTCTCTCTCTCTCTCTCTTGGCTGCCTCGACTGATTTGTATAAGATGGTATTATGCTTTGAAGCAATTCACGTGGTTGAAAATAATGGCTTATTTGCAACGTCGCTTGTTTAATTGAAATTGACGACACTAAGGGATTTCTAATTACTTCATGTGGCTTCAAGTAGATTCAACATTACTCTTGCAAGTTTTTTGACACCAGTTACCATGCCAATGTTACTTCAATTGACATTGGTATTTGTCCCTCAACCAAGGATGGTTTGGAGGTTGGTCCTAATTTTCTATTGTTGAGATCACTACTACTACGATGCTTTTGTGGCACAACTAGTATTTCTTTCCACTGCATAGCCTTCAGTAGGGGTTTGTTACCTTCAAATAGGTTAACAACTCAAAGTTGAAGTGCGAACAAGTGAAGTTTGGACTCTTATCGTTGCCTAACCACTGACGGTCTCTCATAGTACTTTGTAATGAGAGCGTGCCTTATTCGGGAGTGTACACCATATGAAGTTTTTTTGTTTCAATAAACAAAAGATAATACATGCTTGTGTTGATACTTGATACCTAAGAAGCACAGATGTAGACACGTGACACGCTGATATGTAACTTTTAAGAAAATGCAAGACACAACATGCGGGGGCACATTCAAAACTTATAATTTTATATATTAATTAGGGCAAATTACACTAATAGTCCCTGTATTTTACCTCTTGTGTCACTTTGGTCCTA